GGTTGCCGCACCGACCCCCCCCACCACCGCGCACCGACGGGCCCGGCGCTGCTCCTGCTCCTCGCTGCTCGATGAGGAATGTGTCTACTTCTGCCACCTCGACATCATCTGGATCAACACCCCCGAGTGAGTGGAGCAGGGTGAAGGGGGGGATTCGGCAGGGGCCGGGGGCTGGGTTCCCCTCTGGGGGGGAAAAGGGATGGGGGGGGGAATGGGAGAGGGGCTTAAAAACAACCAGCTCCCAGCAGAAATGGGAAGGGGAGGAAGGAACAGGTATTTGCACAGTCTCTCCTATTGCTTTCCCTGCCTTTCTGCTCAATTTAGCAGCGAGACTGTTCACTGGGAGAAAGCAAAGCAGGATTGGAGCGCCTAGATGGAGCAGATACCTCCTAATAGCCCCAACACACCTGCGCTCCTAAAATCTGGGCAGGAGTATTTCCTTTGGGTGCTGCTCAGCAAAGGCTGCGGGATACCTTTCCCTATGAATCAGCAGCAGACCAAATGCCAAAAGGATGATTTTTGCTAGCCTGAATTTGTCTGACCGTTTTTCTTCCCAAGCAGTTAGGAGGCTGGAAGGACATGGGCTAGCTCCTTGCCTCCTCTTGCTGTTTTTTCCTGCTAATTAACACATCCTGCATATTAACAGGGTCATGTACAGTGCCCTTTTCTATGCTCTCCTCACCAAAAAGTAGTGAGCTCAAACCTCACCTAATGCTGCAAACACTTGACTTTGTGATTTGTTCCACTGATGGGTTTCCTCAGAGCGGAGAGGGTCTGTTCCTCACTTTTACTGCTTCTTTCAGTGTTGGCAGTTACCAAAGTTCAAAGAGATGAGGTTTTATTGCTTTCTATCTCGGAGGGAGGCACAGCAGCCTTATGAAATCACAATTAAAAGGCCATTAGCCTTGTCAGTAGCCATGCTAATGAGTATGTTGCAGGATGATCAGAAGTATTTGCATGGAAATTATAACCAGAGAGCCATTTCCAATCCCACAACCTTTACTCATGCAATCAATCCCATGGATAAGATTGCCCAAAATACCCTGCTGTTTTGAAGCCATGGAATTATTTTAATGACTTTCATGTTGTCTCTTTGATCATAGGAAGACTGTTCCATATGGTCTCGGAGGCCCTTCTCGATCCAGAAGATCACTGAAGGACATGGTGCCGGAGATGCTCGCTGAACCTAGCAGCAGATGCCGATGTGCCAGCCAGAAGGACAAGAAGTGTCTGAACTTCTGCCAGACAGGAAAAGATCTCTGGTGCGTCTGTTGTTGGTACTCTTTGAAAGGCAGTGCATATAAAAGGGATGGATTGTGGTAGACTTACTCATTTTGGCACTTACTGAGCAAATAATCTCCCTGAAGCTTTTGCCTCCTACCTGAATGCTCACACTGCTATGATACATGCTATGGTTTGGCCCAGAAAGATTGTCTGTCTTGAGAAGTGGCTGATGAGGTGCCTCACCTTGTGGACTGCAGACTTGGTTTTTTGTTTTGGGGGTTGTTTTTTTTTTTGTTTGTTTGTTTGTTTGTTTGTTTGTTGGTTTGTTGTATGTTGTTTTGTTTTTTTTTTTTTTTAACAGCAGCATCTTTTCACTTTTAACAGGGCTCAGTCCACACTGGAGAAAACCTCACGTCACCACAACAAAGCTGACAGCTGCATTGGACCCAAATGCATGACCCGACAGCTTGTTGACAGCAGGAAAATGAAGCGGTGAGTTTTTTCTCAGCCTGTTGTAGTTCCCCAGAGTAGCAATAGAGAGCACAGTTCACCTGCCTTTCGGTCACCATGGGCTTAGCTGGTGATTTCAGCTTCAGAGTTGTGGAGGAATCGGTGAGGATATCTTGAAGGCTTTTGTTCATACCGTGGGTTCTTCACTTCTGAAGACATAGGTGCTGGGCTCTACCTAGCATCCTCCATTTGCTTAGAGGAATTGGGCTTAGTTATAGACCTAAAGATACATCAAACTTTCAAAGAATATGAAATCATTAAATACTGGCAGAAATAAATAGAGCCTGTAACTTTAGTGTGTTCATGCACTATCTTAACTGATAAAAGATACTATATCCCAACTATTCTAAAATGAAATTGAGTCAGAATGCCTTTTCTTAGATACTTTACTCCATTTTACTGCCAAAAAAAAAAAAAAACAAACCCAAAGTTATTGATCTATCCAGATTTGGAATGGGTTCTTTCTTCTGCTGGTGTGGCTAGCTTTTTAGAATGCAGGAGGCAGATTTCTGCCTGCTTTATCTCTTGCATTGCCCAGTAAACCTGTGTAAGATGAGTATGGGATGTTAGCGATGGAAATGACTGCACAAGGTTGAGAAAAGAGAAAATGAAGACTAAATGAATATTTCAGCTCAATTTAATATTTGAGATTAGGAGTAAATTCCAGGACTGCCCTTTGAGGTCTGTGCATAATAAGCTGAGTGGCAGCAGGCAATGATATCACTCCACAGTGCAGTTCAGATACATATGCATTGGATTTGGTGCAGCTATGAACCCCTCAGAGGGGAAGTCAGCTTTGAAGATGAGTTTTAGTACAGCTGCGTTGGCTCTGGTGTTCAGTCTTCAGCCACATGGTATTCATGCCCACGTAGAAGTATGGCATACAGAAATTGGCCCATACGAAAGAAGACTCTCTAGTACGACTTTCAAAAGCAGGACAGGATCTATGGGAGCAGGCGGCCTGGTGATTTTGGATGAGACTTAGACCCTGAAAGTCTGAAGTAATTTTTTAAAATAGGGCTTCCTTACTTGAAAAATGCACCCATTCATTGGAACCAGGATCACGTTTACCTAAAGGAAACAAAACAGCTGAAAAGAATAACACTAAAGACCTCTCAACTGGATATGTGCTATTTAAGGAAGTCTATGGCATCTATATTTGAATGAGTATTTTACTTTAATATTTGCATTTAAATTCTGAATCCAATATTTCAAGTGGCTTAAGTTAGTGTAATTCTGACAGAGGTGTAGCAATCAGCAGTTTCTGAGGATTCCACGGCAGAAATCTAGACTGAAGCTTATTTAATCAAAAACTGTATCTGCACACTGCACCTGCATCTTCATTATTGCAACAATAAATGTATATTTCTTATTTTTTTCAGGCTGGAAGCCATTGGTAACAGTATCAAAGCTTCCTTCAGTATTGCCAAGCTGAAGGCTGAGCTCCAGAAGGGGAGGAAGCTGAAACATAACAGGGCGAACAAAAGGCAAAGTATCTGGGAAAGCCTGAAAGCATCCTAGTGGGAAGATCACCTGAATCTTTCTCCATCACACTTGCTGACAAAGCATTGCCTAAACTCTCTTTTGACTTCTAACATTCCATGATGGCAAAAGGCCTTTGTCCACGTGATTGCAGAGCAACGCACTAAGGAAGTCCTGTATTTGGAGGTATAAAAGCAAAGGTTTTCATCATTTTGGAATTCAGATGGATGGGTAGAGGGGGTGAAGGGAAATCCGCTGCAACTTACGTTAAAAGCCATCGAAGACACATTTGAGCATTGCTTCTGGCCATCAACTGGGCAGCCTTCAGGGTCTACAGCAAAAGTGTCTTGCAAGGAAGACCTCACAGATGTGCTTAGAAAGGACAGAAAGCAAGATCTGAGTGGACAAACTTCAAAGCGAAGAACTCTTCCTTTTGATTAGAATGCAAAAATGAAAGCCACAGTGCTACTTTAATCAGGACTTACTGCATGTATACATGTCTACCTCGCATACTGTTTGTTGCACTCCTGCTAGAGTATTTTTACACCTTGTTATTGCCTTTACTAATCAGCTGCAACCCTTTGCCTTTTTTCAGAAGCCTAGTTTACTTGTACAACCAGAGTTATCTGAACGTGGGTTAGACGCTGTGGTTGTCTGCATAGTCCAAGTCCTTTGATTTTTGGATACCACAGGACTCTTCAACATAAAATAAAAGTTAGAGGACACTACTAGGTGTCCCATAACAAGGATATTTGGCTAACTTAAATTCTAAAAATAGAGGTTGTTGTGTCTTACATGCCACCAAAACTGCACTGAAGTGGGAATGTGCCAGAGGCTGGTGTGAGATTCATTCAGTGCTTTGTTTAGTGGAAATGTGTCGAGACAAAGGGTTGTTTTGAATTATGTCAAAAGGCTAATATTGGGTGAATGGTTATAGCAGTGAATTTGTTCACATTGTTGAATTTGCTGACAGGTTGAATCTTATGTGCTTATTTTTTTTGTGTTTTGTATTTATATTCACACAGTTCTTAGTTATATTTACCATGTTGAATACACATTGAAGTAGGCCATATTGGTCTATGCATGTTTTATGTATTTCTGTATGAAATTGTAAATGCTTTATGCCTATCAAGGTAAATATCTTCAGAAATAAATATTTTTAATTACTGTATTGGCTTGGTTTTGATATGCCCTGCTTTTCCATAGGCTGTGGCTCCATGATCACGGAGGTAGATTGCCCCACATACAAAGCTGACCTAGATGGAGTGTGTGCACATGATTACCTTTCTGCTAGATTAGCCAGATCACAACACAGTAAGTTCGTGCCAGATAGGAGGCAACAGATAATACTTGGTCTAGCTTCAAGCTTGCTCATCAAAACTTCAGGGCAAAATTTGAATTGGCCAAATGAATTTATCCTGGAGCAACTTTCTCGCATGGCTGGAGTCTTTTTCATCCAAAAGTACAAATTCTAATATTGGATTTACTGGACCATTAAAATATGGCCAATAAGGGGTTGGATATAGATGAGCTAGAGGAGAAAATGCACATACTGGATGCTTTGTGGGCTTCCTTAGGTTGCCCAAGGAAGTTGTAGACGCCGCCTCCCTGGAAGTGTTTAAGGTCAGCCTGGATGAGGCTTTGAGCAACCTGGTCTAGTGGAAGGTGTCCCTGCTGATGGATGACCTTTAACGTCCCTTCCAACCCAAACCATTCTATGATTCTATGTTATTTATTACCATGCTGTCTTAAAATCGGTCCAGCCTGTGCAAGTTAAAGATGGAAACCTCAATGGAGCCAGGCCCAAGTCCAGGGAAGAGCAAGCTTTGTGTGTCTCCAAACATTGGCCTGAAGTGATTATAGCTGGAGAGATGCTTAAAGCAAATAAATGGATTTAATCAGCTCTGATCCTATAGGTGGGGGTTGAGGGGGAGCACAATAGTCAGGCCATGGATAAAACTGAGTGTTTTGGGTTGTTTTAAAAGCAAACTTTTACAAATGAATACCATACAAGGTGTGTGCCACTTGCTGACAGCAGCCAGTGTTAAAAATTTCTGAAATTATTCCAGTTTTCTTGTCAATATTCATTTCTTTGCAGCATTTTTCACCCTCGGACACTGTAAAACTGCATAAAGCCTTTGTTATGTTTTCTTCACACTGTTCTGCTACATTTTGGGGCAGTAATTCCACAGTGCTGGCAGCTTGGGTCTGACAGCAAAGCCTGGAGGAACCGTGAGCCCCTGTGCTTCCTCAGGGCAGGATGCAGCCCCCGGAGCTGCCCTTTGATCTCCACATCGCCTGCACTAACTGCTTGGGACCTGTGTGGATCAGTGACTTCTGTCAGGTGTGAAGAGACCTCACTAACACTCCCTGGTTTTCCATTTCTTCCCCCACCAGTGGCTTCCTTTGGCAGGGAAAACAAACACGCGAGTCATCGAGACACTGACTCTCAGCCAGCAAAGGAGGAGGTGAGTGGGTGGTGTGGGGTGGCCCTGCTAGGGAAGGGTCTGTGCACCAGCATCCCTGTCCCAGTTGCTCCTGTTTTCTCTCCTGGGAGAGGTCAGGAGGAGAGGAGTGATTCTCAGAGTAGAGGAGTGCTGCAGCAGCTCCTGTGCTGTTATTAAGGCTGGCTATCTAGATTTTGTAGGTGGCCAGGCTAAATAGTGCTGTGGGTGGGCTTTGGTAGCCCAAATTCCTGGCCAGTACTTAAGGGATTCTTGAGAGACCATCCTAAAAATAAACCTGTTCCTTCTAGGGTTTGTTCTGCTCATGCCTGGACTGGAAAGCTGGCTTTCATTCTCCTTTCCTTCCCCTAAACTGACCGCGCTGCTTGCTCATGCTGCAGCTTTGTGTAGTGATGGGCACCCACTGGCCTTTTGGGGAAGGTACAGCAGCACAAGAAGGGTGAGATGCCCAGATGCCAGGGGCTTGCAGGCTTTGGGAAGAGTGGCTGAAGCTGTTTTGTGCTGCCCAGGCTGATCCGGGGCCCTGCTCACGTGCCATGGGGACAGAAGGGGATGTGTCCCCCGCCCCTGTGCTATTTGCCTTCTGGCATAGGAGAATAAACTGCAGCTTACCCTGGTTTGCATTAATGAGCTGGACCAAAAACCAGAATTTAACAGTCTGTTTGTCTCACTGAATAAGCAAAAGGGAACATGAGGCATTTTATCTCAAGGCTGGCTGATGTACAAGTACCAGGGTCTGTCCCAGAGGTTTACTCCTTCTCAAAGCGAGCTCCACAGCAGAAAGAGATTCAATAGCTCAGGCCAGAACCCCTGGTGAAAAAAAAAGAGGCATGGTATGTGCTGGGATTTATGGCACTGAACAGAGAGCAGTGTAAAAGTACATTCTTACTTATAATAAACGACCTGAGCGAAAAAATATTCTACCTGAAGCCAATGGAAACATTGTGCTGACTGCAAAGGCAAGGCTGCAGAGTCAGGGCTCTCATTCTTCTAACTAGGACTCATCTCACTTCTTCTCTTGGAAAGTAAACCTTTCACGGCTGTGATCTTTCTCCTTTTGAAGTGAGAGATACTCCTAATTCAGGATGAAATCTGAGAAGGATGAAATGAAGCATATAGGGAAGAGGACTACCACTTTCCAGCATGACGATACTCTAATGGTCCCAAAATAGCCCTGACATACACCTGAAATTCCAGCTCCAATCAAGAGCAAGGAAAGGCCCCATTCTCAAGATGTTACCACATATTTTCTCCCTCCTCTGTTTTTTCCTGGGTTCGGCATGGCCATATCTGAAATTGCAAAAGATTTTGCAGGAAAAGAAAACTATTTCCCTCTGAAATTAAGCTCGCTGCACTTATTTTTATTCAACGCTCTGTGTAATTCTTTCTTGCTCAGCTGGTTTATTTTTATTTTCTCTGGAAAAAGGCTGTTTTGACTATATATCAAAACAAGGTGTACAATAAAACAAAGCTTCCACATGTGAGTCAGGCTTCAAGTCAGGAAAATGCTACAATACTACTGAAATTCTTTCCATCTTATCTACATAATTCTGACCTAATTTTTTCCAGAAATGGCAACTCTAATCTGTACCATGTTATCATGAACTGCCCCAAAATAATTCACTCAGGATGTCCTAATGTTGCCTATAGAAGTTACCAAATGCCAGCCTCTTTGTTCATATTTCCTTACATTAGGATAAATTTAGCCACCACAACACACTTCTATATTTACAAACACAGAAAGAACTGGACAAACCCCTGTTTGAACACTATCTGATGTTTACTTTCTTCACATTCAACTGTTTGCCTCTGTGGATATAAAGCCATATCAATTCTGAATTTGCCTGCATCATGGCACTATTATTAGGTTCCTTGGGTAGAAATCCAGCTTCCATGCTCAGCTGATATCTTTATTTAATTTACTGTTCTTCCTTCGTGACTTAAGAAACAAAAGGACGGAGTTTTTGATTAATTAGAGGAGAATGCTTGGAAGCCGCGGTGGTGAGTATAAGTAGGCAAAGAGACAGAGAGCCACTGATAAAGTACAAAGATAGCGGCAGGATCATTTTTCCTGAGGTAAACATCGTGAGAATGACATGTCAGAAACTTAGCCAGAATGTGTGTTCTTGTCTTTCCTTATTTTATATCTCTGATCAAATCTGAGCTAGGTGAAAAATGATAGGGAAGCCTATTTAGCTATTTCTCAATATGGTTAAACGACTGGTTGGTATGTCTTAGTGGTGTGCCTGGGACAAGTTCCTCTGCTCTGATTAGGTCAAGGAGACCTGAATTCTGCCTCAAGTCCACCGGGTCAGTCGGTCAGCCAACAATTCCCTCAGCTCTAGAGGCATCGCTTATGCCAGTGAAATGAGAGCAGAATTTGACCCAGAAAAGGCTTTGTCCTTTCTGGTATCACCATGATGGGGGCAAATGGATGCCAATTTGCTGATGCTGGCACAGGGCCCCAGTGGCTCTTGCTGCTCTTGGTCTGGGGTGTTTAGGGTTTTTTTTTTTACTCCCTGCAAGGATTTTGTAGTAACAAATTAGATAAATATCACTTTGGTAAGGAATGGGGCAGTTGCCTCTGGCTCAAGAAAGCTGCATTCAGAAATGGATGAGCCC